CGTCAAATTATTAAACAACTATGGGACATCCCCCAAATGATTAGTCATATTAAAAAAAAAAAGAAGAGATGTTTACTCTATACCCGTCTGTTGCATATAGGAATAAATATAGAAGCATTATAAAGTCGATTTGAGTTTATTATAAGACGTTCGTCCAGTGGTTGCTTGCGTAGAAGAGCGATTGAAAGTGCTCTAATCTCGATGTAATGCGGATAAAGATACTGAGTATCTTTGAAGCGCTTCGACTTTTCGATACCGAAAGTATAAAATCGTAGAAGCTGAGACGCCAAAAAATGAAAAAAAGGAAGAAGAAGAAGAAGGGAAAGTCGCCGAAAGAGAGCACCTTACCGAAAATATTCCTTATTCCACTTATCGATATAGCTTTGGTTTTTTATTTATCACTATAGACGTGTATGGATAGATTTGACTGGCTTCTCGCATCTGTGATCGTTTTTATGGAAGGGCTTTAAAACATCTATACTAAGTCTTAGCTTATTACACCACCCCATTAAATTGAAGAGAAACAACAACTTTTCCTCATCATTTCCCAGTGTTACAAACAAATTGAAATAATTATATCACTTAAATTTTCCGATGGCGAATTTAAAAAAAAAAAAGAAAAACGAAAAAATTCAATCTTTGCCAATTTTTTTTTGTTTTTTTTTTTCATTTTAATAAAATGAAATCTTAACAATAAAAATTTGATTTGATGTGCTAATAAAAATCGTTACATGACTGTGAACTGACAGAAAATTGTACGGTTTTAATTGAATTTTTATCATAAAAAAAGTTTGCTGTAAATCTCTTTGAAATTATTATTTTTAATTTTCCAAATTTTGATATCTTAAAATTATTATTATTACATGTATATATATATATATATATTTTTTTTTTTTTTTTTTAAGGAAATTTCATTTTATTTTAGTGCAAACGATTAGTCAGTGTCATGAGATGCGACAAATCTTAACCCGTTTTGAATGTTTTAGCCTCTCCACTCGCTAAACAAGTGAAAGCATTATAGGAGTACGCGATCCATTATTAGATACCCTACATCATACACGTTTAATACAGTCATTCATATAATGATTTTTAAATATAAGACTTTATATGGGAGATGGTCGAGAAAGTGCTCCGTTCCGAAAAATTTTCAGTAGCGTTCGTCCATGAACTTAAACACGGCGGTATACCAAATTTCATCAAACAATCTCAAAACTTGCAACACTTAGGTTGAACGTAACAGTGCAAGACAGACAGACAGATAGCCAGGCACGTTAATCCGTTATCAGCTTAGTTGTAGTAGCAGAGAAAGGAGTCGATCTAAATGGATTCTCTGAACCGATTACGGAAGTAATCGATTAAATTTGCTTTACTGGCAGATTTTTTTGTAAATTTTCTTCAAAGGATACCTGAAGAAATTTTTTCTTTTTACTTTTCGTCTTCACAGACATTGCTTTAAATCTCATCCTTAGTCTTGCCTTTTTTACAACTTAAGTGTATCAAAACCTTCTTCTTTTTAACTCTTTTAAAATTTCGAGATTTCTCTTGAAAAAATGAATCACTTATCGTCCATTAAATTAAAGAGTAGCTCTAATATATAATTAATAAATAACTTAATGATGGGGTGGTCCACAAACTAACAATTAGCATAAAAAAAAAAAAAAATGAAAAAACAAATTTTTTATATATATATATATATATGTTTGTGTGTGTTGTTTATATTAAAAATTTTTTTTTTTTTTTTTTTGGTTCATAATGCCATAATAAACGTACGTTGGCGTAGAAAATTTTCATTAATTTTTCCGTAAACATATGTGTAAAAAAAATGTTTTTATTAAATATTTTTGTATATTATTTCATACCTCATTGCCTTTTTTCAACTACCCACAATGAGGTGTGATAATATATTCAATGCTTTTGCCAATTTCACGAAATAAATATGATATACGTATATATGTTCATGTATCGGAGAGTAACGTAACCGTTATGAAATTAATTTGGCCTCATACCTCTAATAAGGTGGATAACATTGCTGAATATAATAATTGCTGAATGCCCCTCCGAGTGAGTCGAAAGGAAAGAAATTTCCTTTATATGAAAAATATTCATTCACTTTTTACTTACTATATATATAATTGTCCGGAGACATCATAAAGATCGGCTTATTGTCATATCCACTTATTATTCATTACATCCCTGTATAATACAGTGTACACTAAGCACGTGCGGATGTATACGATTTATTTGTTCACTTTTTTTTTTATACTACTAGATAAATATTGTAATTATTATAATAACTGTAAATATAATATTATTAATTATGAGTTTATCAATATTACTATTAACATTATGTTGTGGTGTGCGCAGGTACTACCCGTTTCTGCAGGAGAATTTTTATTAGATTTTGATTTCAATTTGTTTTCGTTATCCGTAAAAAAAAAAAAAAAAAAAAACGTTGAGAAGTGGCTTATGATATTTACTGCATCATGGGGCTTGCCCTACTGTTTGGACCTTCGAAAAATATAATAGGATGAGGAATATAATAATAATAATAATAATAAAAATGAATGGATTATGAAAATGTCCTTTTGTGCTTCGCATTCCTACAGAAATTTTCTTAAAAATCTTGGCCTTTACGAGTTCTGGCTTACCGAAGATTCGAAATTTGCAAACACTTGAGACTTTCGCAGCAATTATCTTATACTATAATATTAACATTATGACCTTTAAAAGAAAGTTTTGCCAAAGTATATACATAGATTATTCACGCAAAACTCAAAGTCTGCTTAATTAAATCCATGTGTCCGTCTAATCAGATGTTAGTAACGGCGCATTTAAACGGAGTAATAGCACATGTCTGAAGATATATATATATATGTGTGTGTGTGTGTGTATTTTATAGCTTGCAAAGAAACCACAATGCGCAATGCGAAAATATTTTCTCTAACAACACGGATATCGAATTTTGCGCGTTTCTGCTTTATTTACATTACGTTACGACGTCGAAAATCCAAGTAATCATACCAAAAACTAGATGAACCATTAGCAATATCGACGATGAAGCTAGAAATCTATGCCAATCTCATCTAAAGGGATTAATCGCGTGTGTGTATATACTATGGTTTATCGTAAGCAAATGAAACCATCACTATGGCAACCTATCAAGAACAACTAATGCAACTGGGACGAGAAACGCGCATATTACAATATCGTAAGTTTCCAGCATAACGAAATTCGTCCCGTCTCATCGAACAAAATCTGCTTAGGAAACGTTCGCAGCATAAACATTCGATATTCGTCATCTCTAATATATACATAAAGCCATGAGCCAGAGCTTTTTCCGGGATGGTTCGTTGAGTACACTTTTTAAAACTGATTTCTAGCAAGTTTTGTAGATCAAAGTCTCCTATAAAGGATAAGATATTCAGAGCAATCTCATATATTTGTACATTTTAAAATTTTTTTTTTTTTCATCTAATTTTTTCACGTAGAAGTCGTCGTTACGTTACAGCGGCATTACGAGTACGTTTCAGATTGGTTTATGAATTCAAAACTAAGTACACTAAGCACTAAGCGGACTAGGTTTTAATTCTCCAATGCACTTATGTACGGACAGATAACTTTCATTAATTGGAATTGTGTTATCGACCTCGAGGTGTAACTTTTCAATAGGACGTTACGATATAAAATACAATATATAGATTCCGGTATCGAACTATCTCTTCAAGGTAAGCTATTAAAATGTCACAAAATACTTGCTGAGAAGGATCTTGAAATGCTTCTCGAAAATGCTTATAAAAAGTACTTTGTTTGACCGGTTTAAGTTTTAGTAGCTGATAAAATTTATCCTTCTTGCGCTTATCGCGTGATAATTTCACCATAGCGAGATCATTCCTTCAAGTAGTATAGAGCAATTTCCTATCAATTTGGGCATGCTTTATCATCCCGAACTGTTCGTCGGCGGTGATCAGATGCCAATCTATCGCAAAGTGAACTTTCTCAGCAAAAGTTGAATTGAAGAAAAGGAAGGGCTTTGCTTTAGCCCATAAAAATTGGTGCGGACCAGAAGGTGCAAAAAAAAATTGTAGTAACTAACATTGATGCGACAAAGCAAACATAAATTTGTTTTCTGAATGATCCGGGAAGAAATTTAATTCGGCTAAAAGGAAAAGAATTGCGCGTTAGGTCTACTTAAAAAAATAGTGAAATATGACGGATCAAATTTTATGGCACAGGATTATTTTTCTTGGGATGATGTCGGGTTTGAGACATCGCATACAAAACTCGTATATAAAAACTTGTTGGAAATGCAAACTTTGTTTGGAAATTGTATGGTATTACTACGACCCCACTCACCGCGACCTTTTCTCTATACCCACGATCAAGAAGATAAAGACCGCACATTGCTTGACGAACTCAAGGCTATACCAAAAAGCGTGTATTAGCAGTGCTTCGAGGTTAAAAAAATGCGCTGGCCCAAAAGGGGAATTGGGCTTTGAAGGGGAAAAAATAAATATTGATGAAGAGAAGTAAAAAATGCGTTCCTGTTTTTCTTTGTAAACATGCCTTGTCCCATCCCATCCACTTGAAGACATATGAGGTCCTATTGAACTGAAATTTTTTTTTGTAGTTTTTGTTTTTACTTAACATAACTGTAAAAGCATTTTTAAATATGGAAATATATAAATATAAAGATAAATAAAAGGTATGGAAATGGAAGAGAAGAGGCACCCTCCGCCAACGTACAACACATACGTCTATTTTTCACATGCGTATGTACATATATGCATACATACACACGTATTTCGTTTCGAAATTCTCAATAAGGTAGATAGTAGACTATTACGATTTCGACTTAAGGTGAGTGCATAGAAAAAAAGAATTTTGAAATTCTCTTTTTTTTTTTTTTGTTTTCTTCCTTCCTCTGCTTTTATTGTGCATTTTATTGTTTAATTTTTCTTTTCTCGCAAATGGAGTGTAAAAATTTTTTTTATAAAATTTTAATTACAAGTGTAAAGCAAGCAAAGCAAGCACTAAAGCATTTAATTACCGTTTGCCTAGTTCGCTTGAAAATTGTTGATATATAAGCCGTTGTTGTAGGGATTTCGGTCTCTTTTTTTATATATGGTAGCAATTTGTTGTTCAAAATAATCGGGCGGCCATTTATAACGATTCAAATCCTCATTGCACATAAATTGCAATAGTTCGCAGAATTTGTTGTCGTAACGTGCTAGAGCTGCTCAAAATGAATCGAATGAATAATTTAAAAATAATTTTTAACGATACCCTTACTCTTCCTATAATGACAGGCAAACAGTTGCATTTCACATTCGTTATTAAATGATTTAAAACATATTCGTTGCTCATCAAAATAGCAGACGCGTCTTCCTACGACATTACGGCAACCAATCCGTAATCTTTCATGACAATTATCAGCTTGGATTGCATAAATGATCCAGAAGAATGCTGCTGAAACGAATATGAAAAGAAAAGATTGTTTTTTTGCTTGTTTTTTTTTTTTTGTTTTTCATCTAAATTGTTTTCGTCATTATACAAATATGATGTTTTGCAGATTTTACCAAACCACCCGATAATTTTGCGCCGCATTTTCTACATTAAATCAGTTTTAAAACTGATTCATTATTGCATTGAATATTAATTCTTTCATTTATTTTCATTTTTGTTTTTGTTTGTGTTTTTTTTTCCTGCTGCTCTATAAGCACACTAAATTTATTTCCTCTAAATAAATAATTTTTACTTTATTGGTTTATTTATTTATTTATTTATTTACGTATGAGAGTGAGCTTATATATAAATACGTACGTCTATAATTATATATACATATATATTTGACATAAGCAATTTCAAGTTAGACTTTTCATATGAATTTATAGGAAGGAAAGTGTGCCCTTCAAGCAGTCAACGAGAAATTGCTTAATATCACGTTGTTTAGCTTATCGTTAATGAAATATAAATGAATAAATAAATAAGTAAACAAATATAAGAATACAATACAATGCATCATAACACCCTACACAGTCATACATAGATTTCAAAGGTAATGAGGTATATAAGTGAAAGCTTGGAGATTCTGAAAATTCCCGAAACTTAAGCTAATCTTCTTAGTTCACTTTAAGTGATTGCAGCAGTTCTTAAATTGAAGAGCCCGAATCATTAAGAATTCGCAAAGACGTTGAATACGCTTTATTTTATCCATTCTACCTTTAGCGAAGTACGAGAATCTTTCTACCATTCCCTGAAAAGGAATAGGGGGGGAAAGAGTGAGTGAGTAAGTGAGTGAGTGACAGAGAGAGATAGAGAGAGAGAGAGAGATAGAGAGAGAGGGACGAGGGACGAGGGATATAGATAACGGGTGAGAGAGAATGACGACGAAAGAAAGAGAGAGAGGGGGCTATAAAGAGAGAGTGAGATGGAGATGGAGAGAGAGGCAGAGAGCGAGAGACTCTTGGATGATTTGTAAGGCTGCCTTAAATTTAAAAGCGCACCAAAAGCACTTTCAAAATTTAGATAGAAAATTTTCTTAAAAAAATTAAAACGACTATTACGTTGTAAATAAAAAAGAATGTTTCTTATATCCGCCTCAATGACCAAGTTTGCGAAGGATCTCGATTAACACGTCAAATCTCAAACGCGGCATAATTTTCAATAGCGTTGATAGCGCCTCAAATACTACTAGACTCTAGTTTTCGAATTTATTTCTCTATTATGATAATAATAATAAAATTTTTTATATATGTACAATTTTACTTATACCCGTCAGTACTTGGATGAATACTCAACGACTGTTTGATGAAATAATTCTACGGCTTAAATTGCTATACAATTGATATCTAAAGCGAAGAAACAATATTTAATTGCAATCTATTTTTAAGAAAATATCCCTGTCAAGAGAAACATGCTTCCTGGTGTTCGACTAAGAAAAAAAAAAAAAACTATTAAGTTAAGACGTTTTGTTCTAAAACTTACCCTCTTTTGGGAAAGTGCCACCGGATGCGTTACTAAAATTCTAAGCCAACCGCATCCTCTTGCCCGCTCTTTCCTCTTAACACAGAAACGTGTTCATTTAAAACGTATAGCCACTATAGGCTTAATAGATTGAAATGATAATCAAGTAAAGTGATTAGCAGTGATCACACCAGCCTTAGATGAGACATAAGAAGTTTAATATTCACTGTAAATACTGATAATTCTGAAAATATAAGGAAAACGTTTAACTAATGTTCGTATTATTTTTTAAACTCAATAAGGATTAGAGGAGTCTAGATTTGTTTTTTTCTTTTAATAAGGCTCGTCATTTCGGGGTAAATTCTAGACGTATGTGTGAACACGTTGATGATCAGAAAAAGAATTGGAGGGGAGAAGAATACATAACTCCTTGTATATGCCTAGTCGGGGTAAGTGTTATGCTTTTACCGTTAAGCATTCACTCTAAGCTCGGCCAACACGCAAAATCGTAGTTAAACTATAGTTTACCACAATGGAATTTAAACCCGCACATTATGAGTTCATTTCGTCGTCAATTATAATATCCTTTCTAAAGTCTCTAGTTCTTCTTCGTCTTTTAATCATACACGCCATACACACCAATACAAATCTTCATTTTACTTGCATCGATGTGTATACATATCGTGTGAATAAAAAACGACAAGTCAATGTAACAAGTAAGAAAATTGTAGTCGGTCAAGGCCGACCATTAAATACCCTATATCACATTGTCTAACACAAGTCTTTTTTCAAGTTTTAGTATTAGGGATCAATTTTCATCACCACATATTAAGACTTATATTTCTCTGCTCTACAAAGGATCAATTTTCGTGAAAATTCTTATTAGGATACGATCCAAAAAAAAAATGGACCGAGATGGTCCATATTTGGCACAGTTAATTTTTTTACGTTAAATTACTATTATGATATAATTTTCATTATATGAGAGAGGATTCAAAAATAACTCCGGCCGGTTCAAAATTTTCATACCAATTTATAATGCCGAAGTACTACTACGTAAAATCCAAAATGAAGCTTCCGAGATCCTATATTCTTGTTAAGCGTGAAGTTGTGAGTTGATTTAGCCGTGCCCGTGTCCGTCTGTATGATGTGTGTTGTTGGCACTTTCCTGCTCGCCAAAAACAACATATCAATTTTAAATTTAGTGGAAACATTAGAAGTTTCCGCACGCAGCTTGGTATTGAAAATGGGTCAAAATGGTCAGAGCAGAAGCGCGCAATGGAGTGTAAACTGAACGCAACTCAGTTTTTTCTAACAAAATTTTTTGGGATTTTTTCTCATTATTCGAAAGTTATTAAAGTTAGAAAGCTGAAACTCTCCACATTTGCTTTACGAGACACTTACTTTACTCTCTAGGTTTAAAAATGGAACCAATCGGTCGCGATTATATTTAATTTTTTTTTCATTTTTTCGCCAGCGGTATGGGTGCCAAATAAATGAACTTTGGGAGTAAAATGCGAAAAGCATAGTGGTGGGTATGCGAGATTAGAGTAGGCGAGCCGCTGCCGAATATAACTTTCTTACCTGTAAGCTTGCAATAAATTAAAAAAAAAAAAATGCTCCGTTTATGTTTCTAGGCTTTGGAAACACTTACTGCCCCCCATATAATATATTGGAAGAAAGCTGGAGGAGAAGTTCATCATCCAATGAAAAGGTACTATCAAGAAATATTTCTTCACCTCGCAGATATTAGATGCCTTTGAACTCTCTTGCACGTTAAAGAAAAGAAAAGAACAATTTTTCTCCATAAATGTTCCTTTTTATGAATTTTAATTTATTTATTTTATTTTTTTTTTTGGCGTCAACAACGAATTTGTTAATTTACTTGACTTAAATATTTTCGCAAAATCTTATTATATGACCATCTGTACTATGTTAGACGTGTATGCACGTATTCGCTCGATTTGAATTATGCACTGCGCATGAGGCACTTTTACAAATGAATTACGCAACTAATTAGTTAAAGTAATAATAAAGAAAAATACAATAAAGTCGACCTTCCTTCTTGCTCTCGTCCTCATAATTGCGAGAGTAATGTGTAAAATCAAATGAAATGAATTTATTTGCAATTTCTCTTCGTTTTTATATTTATTAGCAGATGGTAAATTCTTTTTGCCAAAAATCAATCAATTTACATCCTTCATTGCTTGGCTACCAATAACATAAACATTCGATGTAATGAAAAAGCATAAACTAACTGCACTCAAATCTATTGTTAGACAATGGCTTAGAACCCCTTCCGTACCATTTCTATACCAATTTCCCGGACATTAAGAAACGAAAAGCAAAACTGTAAATCTTCATATTAAAAGTAAACAACTTTCATATTAAATATCTTTGCTTAATTGAAACGAATTTACGCCTAAGGGGCGCTACTGCGACAACCTAAAAAGAAAAGGGGTTTCAAATCATTTTTTGACGCAAGATGAACCGTAATGAATAATAATATTTGAAAACGTTATTAGGCGTAATTTTACTAATGCACAACAACAAAATGATATACTGTATAATTCAAAGGAATTCATAATTGAACGGCCAATCGAAAACTTCTTAATCTCAAACTCTTAATATTCTGGTGGAATCTCTACAGGTCTTCGAATCACTCTCAGCTTAATATCAGCCCGAAGATCGTCTTGATGAAACTACAACAACGTATATTTGCTTGGAAGCACTATTAAAAGATATCTGTTAGCGTCTCAGAGAAGTCAGAAATCAAATCGACAGATAAAACATTACACCGTAACTTTCCACCAAGTGCCAAGTGTCGTACGTAGGCGATCTCTTATAGAACAAGCACGCCACTTCAAGCAATAAGTTTTCCAAACTTGGACTATCAAAACTTGGACTATCTCGTTCTATTTTTTGGATCCTACCCCAATAAGGATTTTCACGAAAATTCATCTTTTGTAGAGCAGAGAAGTCTAAGTTTTAATTGACCTGCACCCATAATACCCATAATAGAAAAATAAAAATTTGTGTGAAACAATGTGGTGTAGGGTATTTAATTGTCGTCCTTGCTCGACTATAATTTTCTTATTTGAAATCTCTTTTATTTTTATCAAAACAAAACATTGTATGGAGAGTGGTCGAAAAAGTGGGCCGCTCCGAATCAATTTTAATAACGTTTGTCGTTGGCCCAAAGCACGTGAGTGCATCAAATATCATCAAAATATTTTAAAAAATTTGCGATGTTTAGATTGAACACAAAATTGCATTGAAATTAGGCGAACCGACAAGTTTAAATCGATTCAGGCAATGATCATGAATCGGTCGGCATAATCAACGATAGATTTTTCTGGGTGTTGCTTATGTTCGCATTAACTTAATATACCCTGGGATATAAAAATTTCTCTTTATCGTTCCGACCTAGGCATGTTTTTTTTTTTTTTTTTTTGATACGGCCAATCAATCGGGGGATTCGCGTATTGGTGTGATGATCAGAAAGAAGTGAAGGAGGAGGAAGTGAGAAAGAAAGAAATAAAAGGTCAAGTGAAGGCGCAAGGGGAAACGCTGGTAAAATTCGTAAACCATTGATTGGATAAAAAATAACGTTCGACGGATTGAGTTAAATGGTGGCATTCACTTTTTTAATTTGAACGAAGGGCAATGATTTATATTTGTTTTAATAATTCCGGATACTTTTTACATAAGGTTTCTTCTCTTTTTTGCGTACACTCATATTTATTCGATATTATTGGTCGCATATAGAATTATATATGATTTTAATGTGGTTGTTGTTGTCAACAATAGCAAAATATTAATGACCATCAGTTAGATGTATAATATGTATGCATATACATAGTGCTAGTCTCGATGTCATACGTACGTACATACACCAACGCTATTTATATCACATTTTCTACTACTTGTACTTATGTGTATTTTTTGTAAAATTCCAATGAAATCGAAATATAAGTCAAGGCAGATAGATTTTCTGTTTGTTTGTTTTTCTTTTTTTTATATTTACATTTTGTTTATTAATCAAATTATTAAAGCGTATTGTGTTTTATGTATTATATAATAATGAATAATTAATTGACGAAAATGAAACTTGTTTACAGCTTAAACCGAATCGTTCAATACGTTCAATACTTTGTTCTTTTTTTCGGTGTTCTTTGCAAAACAAACAAAAAAAAAAAAAGAAGAAGAATATTGATATCAAATCGCTGAGAAATAAGGAGTAATATGAGTTAATATATTTGACGTTAAAATAAATAAATTTTTTTAACGATTTTTTCAACTTATCGGATAAATTCTTAAAATGTTTTACGTTTCCTTAATATTTGGAATATTCGTCTAGGGCCGCCTCGAAATTCTCTCTAGACTCTCTTGATAAGAATGATTTTGATAGGAATTTTTTTCTAAGGCTTGAAAATAGATGCAAAATTAAAGCAGATCAGATCTGATAACCATGATGGATACTTACAGCAGTTAAAGGTAATGGTGCAATTCTGATGCAATCTTTCGATGAAAAATAAATTTTCTTCACTAAGTCAGACATTTCTGTCGGTTTTTGTTTCTCTTTCTGAATTTAGTCACAGCGTAGCAACGCGATTTCAACTTGACTTTTACATTAAAAACTACTTCAATTTTCGAATAAAAAAAAGTCAATCTCTTCGTATCGAAAATTTTCCCGCGACCCATCAATTCATGGCCCAAAAAAAAAAAAAAAAAAAAAAAAATCAAACGAACACAATGAAAATTGTTCAAGTTACGCTGCATGCTGTTTTCAAAAATGTTGCTTAGAGTTTAAAATTTCTCCACCGCCCACAATGATCCATTAATGTAATTTTTGACTAATTAAGCGAGCATTTTACTTAATGCAATACAAAAAATTTACATTCTGATAGGCAAAAGGCTTCAATTAGTATTTTTGTGCTCGCACTTTTGATGTTAAGATATAATCGTTTCGCAACAACGTTTAGCAATTTAATCGGCAATTTTTTAACCGCTTTAAAACGAAACTCGATGTACTGTGTGATTTCTTGTGTAATTGGGTCAGGCCCATCTAGGGTCTATGGGTCTGTGAAACCGATATACATATTATTCGAAAATACAGTGTCATTGTATGTAATGCTTGCTTCGAATTGAATGCAAGCGGCGTCCCTTTTTGTCAATGGTTTGCTCATGCTACGTCTTTTTAGTTAAGTTTCCCGTATTGATTCAGTTCACAATCAAATCGTTAGTATAATCAATAGTTTCTGCAATCAGTTTTCGATTTTTAAATGTTGCTTGGATCTTCCTTCCCTACCCCCTTTAAATAAAAATAAAATCCTGCTATCAAAATGGTTTTTGTCATGGCTTAATTGAATCATCAATAAATGTTAATATGCAAAATGCAAACACCAGAACTGATTGATAAAGGAAAAAATTATCAAATACTTTTAAGTGACTTGAAGTTCAATTAAGATAATAGCCTATTAAAATTTTTGAGTGTTCTTGACATCCATAAATGATAAGTTATGCGAAAATTTTTATCGCAAACTTTCTTACTATTGTAATGGTGATTGGTATTAAAAAAGTCGGCCCAAGCCAAATACAATTTTCTATTTTTTTTTTTTTTTTTTTTTTAAAATTTTTCTTTTTTACCAAGAAAAACATTCAATTAATTCAATAAAAAAAAAAAAAAAAAACACTAACATGCATTTACTTGCAGTTTAATTTCGTTTCTTTCATCATAGATTTTTATTGCCTTAACCTTGACATGATTACAGGTGTATTTACACTACATTTGCCAAAGTTTGTCGATATCTCTTATTAATAAGAAAAAGAACGGTCAATACCTACACTTCTACCGATTTATAAAAGCATTAAATCGTTCTATACCATATGTGTGCATTATTTTCCGTTAATTAAATCGTTTCTAAAAATTACGCCCTCATATTGGCACATACGTTGGCACTTATTTAGCTGTCATTCTGTTTTTGCCCAATTTATATACGAAATTTTTACCTATCTACACACACACACAAGAGCAAATATATATTTGTTTGCGAGTGTATTTATAGATACATATATATATACATACACATATATACATAGTGTTAAATTTTTGTTCAATTTCTGCATGCATTTATTATTATTTTATTAAATTAATTTTTTCTTTTCGGATATGCAAAAACGTGTACTAACCCTGTCATCCACTATACACTCTAAAATTTCGAATAGTACGTTTCACTATGAATTGTGTTGGCACAAGATTCGAAATTGTTTTAGTTATGTGTTCGCGTTTCACTCCTTGGTGTCTATAGACAAAAACAGAGAGGGAGAGAGAGATAGAGAGAGATAGATAGATAGATAGATAGATAGATAGAGAGAGAGAGAGAGAGAGAGAGAGAGAGAGAGAGAGAGAGAGAGAGAGAGAGAAAAGTCTCACATAAGGGAGCGAAACGGACATCAAACTCAGTCTCGCCATTAATTCGAACTATATTTGAAATTCGTTTATAGACACGATTACCAAGGCGCGAATGAATTAAGGCGCTCTTTGAAGAAACGTAAAATTGTAATGAGTCCGAGTTGAATATTTTATGCACAATATTTAAATTAAACACCTAAAACTCGGGGGATGATGTCCCCTATAGGTGGAACATGGGAACGGTCAGAGAGAAGTGAAGAAATCGAAAGAGATAC